TGGGGTAGGGGTGGGCATGGGGCATCTGGGTCAGGGGCTGAGGACAGTGGGGCAGGGGTGGGCATGGGGCGTCTGGGTCGGGGGCTGAGGGCGGTGGGTTAGGGGTGGGCATGGTGCTTCTGGGTTTGGGGCTGAGGGCGGTGGGGTAGGGGTGGGCATGGGGCATCTGGGTCTTGGGCTGAGGGCAATGAGGTAGGGGTGGGCATGGGACGTCTGGGTCGGGGGCTGAGGGCGGTGGGGTAGGGGTGGGCATGGGGCATCTGGGTCGGGGGCTGAGGGCGGTGGGGTAGGGGTGGGCATGGGGCGTCTGGGTTGGGGGCTGAGGGGGGTGGGTTAGGGGTGGGCATGGTGCTTCTGGGTTTGGGGCTGAGGGCGGTGGGGTAGGGGTGGGCATGGGGCATCTGGGTCGGGGGCTGAGGGCGGTGGGGTAGGGGTGGTCATGGGGCATCTGGGTCAGGGGCTGAGGACAGTGGGGCAGGGGTGGGCATGGGGCGTCTGGGTCGGGGGCTGAGGGCGGTGGGGTAGGGGTGGGCATGGGGCGGGTGTATTACATCCTACATTGGTGAGGGATAAGAGTCTTTCAGTTCAACCAGAATCAAATCCTCTGCAAGTTCAGAGTGAACTTTTTTTTTTTCTCTAAGTGGGTTTAAGGTTTAGGCCCTGTGTGGGAAAGCACTGACACGCTTTCCAGAGAAAGTGGTAAATTTTTTCATCTGGTGTTTCCAATTGACCCCTTTTCTTTGTTGTCAGGTATGTCAGCAGCAAAAATTAGATTGCAAATGCATGTGACATTTACACTCTAAAGACATTGTATAAAATCTTCAGAGGTGTTGCTAGGTATGGAGAGAATAGTTTCTGTAGCTGTTTTTACTAAATAGATCATATAGGTAAAATATGTTTTCAATGCCTTTGAAAACACATATTCCATATGTTTTATGACAATCAAGACCTTTCATGGCAATCTAGTTCTTTGTTATACTCCCGAGTGGCGCAGTGGTCTAAGGCACTGCATCGCAGTGCTAGCTGTGCCACTAGAGATCCTGGTTCGAATCCAGGCTCTGTCGTAGCCGGCCGCGACCGGGAGACCCATGGGGCGGTGCACAATTGGCCCAGCGTCGTCTAGGGTAGGGGAGGGAATGGCCGGCAGGGGATGAAGCTCAGATCGTAGAGCATGGCGTTTGCAACGCCAGGGTTGTGGGTTTGATTCCCACGAGGGGTATGAAAAAAAATAATGTATGCACTAACTGTAAGTCGCTCTGGATAAGAGCGTCTGCTAAATGACTAAAATGTAAAATGTTTGTTCTACCAAAAGTAATAAAACACTGTCACACTCTCAAATAGGTATGGAACATTTTCTAAATACATTGACACTACAGTTGACCCCTTACTCTCCCCGATCAATATAATTACCAGCCATTGTTTAGAAGACCCCTTTTGATTTGCACATTGTATAAGGTCATTACGTTACATAAGTTGCGGCATTCCACTGTGTTGACAGAAGTCTCAGCATCCTTACTGTGCTGTAAGGCTGAAATAAAACCTTTATTCAGCACAGGACTTTACTCTTTGTTTCATGCCATCCTCTAGGCCCAGTGACTGTTGTGAATTATTGAAACGTGTTCTTTAAGACTGCAAACAGTTCAGAGTCTAATAGGTTTGACCCGTCAGTAACCTCTGGCAGTAAAAAATAAAGAATGAAAAAAAAGCTTCTGTATTCATCTTGTGCACGAACTGCACTGTGCGGCAGATGAGTCAGCGTTGTGCTTCGGTGAAAAAGGGGGTAATAGGGGAAGGGGCGGGGGCTCCCCTCAATAGAGCCATTAATGAGAATACAGAGCGAGAGAGGGAAAGAGTTCAAGAGACCAGTAGAATGCATGAGAGAGCGACTGAAGGAGATAGGAGACAGAGGGAGAAAGTGAGAAAGGAAGAACAGGAGAAAGTCTGGGACAAACCAATGAGGTAGAAAAGGTGAATAAGAAGAAGGAGGTCACAAGTTAAATCACATTTTTTACATAATTTCAAGTGGCACTAAGGTATAACTATGCTCAAAACAGGGGCAGGGTGTGATGACCACTGTCTGTTTTGGGTTGAAGCTTAATAAACCCTGCTCAATTTATATTCCGTCAGCAACATGAGCCTGAAGTAAGGGTGTGGCAGTCAACCCACTACAAAAAAAGTAATAAAATAATACCTGTTGCTAGTGTAACATTTGGGCGAGGCTGCAACAGACAAATACTATTGATTAGGAAAAAATTGTGTTTTCACTTGTCTTTACGAAGTAAGTTGATGGTCAGAGTTTACTCTTCATTTTAAACCACTAGAGGCCACCACACACAAAACCCTGGCACCCCTACTGAGAGTTAAACTGCATTTACTAGACTAGTCAAGAAACCAACCGGATAAATATTGGACATGCATCTACAAGGTGGCAAACTACTTTTGTTGTGGTTTAGAAAGTTGTTGTTCCCCAAATAGCCACACTCATACCAGATCTGGGCAGAAAAGACGTCTAACTATTCATCAATTTTAATTAACCATGAGGTAATGGATAGAGTATGACACCAGTTTAATTACAGCTGCTGTTGTGGAGTGTGCATCAAATAATACTCTCCTCATTGTTGCACCCTGGGCATGGCTGGGTCCTGTATTCTCACGTGAGTCTACTTGAACTCTGCAGCAAAAAATATTTCTGCAAGAGAGAAAATACATTCCAACCGAGGTGAAATGTAACTTTTAGGCCCCATTTCTGTCTGTCCTCACTCTGTTGATGGCTGAGGGTTAAAAGGGCTCCTGAAGGTAGACATGGAGCTCCAGACATCTGTCAGAGACATCATGGCCTGACCGAGGCCTCACGACTTTCCTTAAATTCTGTGTGGTGTGGTCCAGCACTAGGGTTTATATTTCAGCCACCTCTGACAAATGTCAACTCCTGACCCTCTCCTTCAGTCTCAAGGCTTCTTCTTCTTCTTCTTCTTCTCTCTCTCTCTCTCTCTCTCTCTCTCTCTCTCTCTCTCTCTCTCTCTCTCTCTCTCTCTCTCGCGCTCTCTCTCGCTCTCTCTCGCTCTCTCTCGCTCTCTCTCTCTTTCTCTCACACCCTCTCTATGGTAAAAAGTGAAACTTCCTGTCGATTAGCAGGCTCTGTTCCAAGCCAAACAAGGTCTGGGAACTTTTCACCCCAAAGCCGACAAATAGTAAATTACGCTTCTATGGAAAAAGAGCACTAGGCAGGAGAAGGAGTGGTTTGGCTTCCGTACCATACCAAGCTCCATTTGTTGCTTAGTATCTAACATGTAAGTGTTTGCTACTAAGCAACAAATGGTTAGAGTTGGGTATCTGTAAGGGTAAAGAAGCTTCTGGTGAAAATAGAGAAAGATTTGATAGATTACTTGATTAGATTTACCATTAGAAATTGTGAGCACATTATCATATGTGTATTTGTATTTGTATTTATTATGGATGCCAAGGCAGCAGCTACTCTTCCTGGGGTCCAGCAAAATTAAGGCAGTTATACAATTTTTTAAACATTACAATACATTCACAACAGATTTCAGAACACATTAAGTGTGTGCCCTCAGGCCCCTACTCTACTACCACATATCTACAACACAAAATCCATGTGTACGTGTGTGTGTATAGTGCGTATGTTATCGTGCGTTTGTATGCATGTTGGGTATACATATCATTCCACTCAATCTAACATGGACATACAGCTCAACAAAGTTTTTGTCTTCTCCAGTACCCATCCATGTGTTTCAGTAGAGGAGAAGGACAACATATCTTGCCTGTGTTGGCAGATCCCAGTTGACCTCAAAGAGAGGCTGATGTGGTTAAGAGCCATTGTAAAGGGCTTCACTCACTCTGTATCCAAGAATGTATGTTTATAGCCCTGAGATTTCTAGAGCAAAGGCAAGGTTAAAGCAGCCCACTCAAGCCGGCTGTAGGCCTACTTCCAAAGAAAGCGAGATGAACTCTTAGAGCAAATGACAAGCATCAAGGGGGAGGCACAATGCAGTGACTGCTAGGTTTAAGAAGAGGAGGGAAACCAGTGTAGGGGGAGCAGTTTACCTAATGGACTGGAAGCATGCTTAGTGAATGTGTAGTGTTTGTAGAAATCTTTGATATGTAATTTATAGTCCTTCAATCTTGACCTTTACCTACTGTAAGTATTTCCTTTGTTAGTGTGATTTTATTTGCCATGTGTTCCACCTACCACTGCCTTTGTTAGCCATTAGCTTAGTTCATAATCATTTATCCGTTCATAGCACACCTAATTAGGCCTTCATCAATGTGTGATGTAGTCTTTCCACAGTACGTGTGACTAAGGTCAACGTGTGACAGGTGCATTTGTTACTTTTATTAACATATTATTTTCCTTTGCTTCCATGTTAATTATAGTATTAATATGTCCCTATGTAAAACCCATTACCTGTGAAAAGCTCACCTGAGGCAGAGATTAAGAGGTCATTGGTGGTTCAGCACAAAACAGACACACACATAGGAGGGCAATTCCATGGTAACAGATTTTTCACTTTAAAATGTATGTCAAACAAATAACAATGACTGCAAAGTTAAACAAACCATACAACTCTATGCACAATGACTACTTTTAACAATTTACACTGAAAATGTTACAAAAACACATTTACTTGAACAGTGCAGATGCAAAGTTTGGTAACTGAATGACAGTTTGTGCTGTTTGTGTCGTCATTCTGTTACCAAACTTTGCATCTGCACTGTTCTTCAAGTAAATGTGTTTTTGTTAAATTCTCTGTGAAAATTATTAAAAGTAGTCCTTGTGCATATAGGTGTATGGTTTGTTTAACTTTGCAATCATTGGTTTTTGTCTGACATACATTTTAAAGTGTAAAATCTCTTCCCAAAAAACAATAATCCATTAAGCCCTATCTCCCACTCTCCTCCCAGTCAGGAGATGCCAGAAGGTGGGAGATACTATTGGTTGTCCCGCTTCCACAATTATTTACTCATACTCCTCCACAGTGATTGTCATCATCTACACCAATCTCTCTGCAGAATGGGCCAGTTCAACAGTGCAACCGACTCCACTCAGCACTTCAACAGGTCAGAAACCTCAATTTAGAAACTTAATAAATAACGAAACCAGAACTATCATGACAGCACTGATCATCATCACTAATCTGACCTCAGAAATCAAGGCAGTACTGACCACTCCAGCCCAGTATGTGTCCCCAGGACTGTACCATGTAGAAAACCCACATGAGTACCACTTCATCCTGGATGAGCCGGAGAAATGCCTGGAGCAGAACCCCTTTCTGGTTCTGATAATGCCAGTGGCACCCTACAACAGGGTGGCGCTTGACATTGCCTGCAGTACTTGGGGTAGTGCTAGACAGGTACTGGGAAAAGAGGTGGGTCTGTTCTTCCTGCTGAGAATGCACAATGGAGAGGGAACGGGGCAGCTTCAGGAGAAAGTGCAGCAAGAGAGCAAAGAGCACTAGGATCTGCTGCAGAGCGATATCAAGAACTGCTACAAAAACCTGACCATCAAGGCCATGGTGATGCTGGAGTGGCTGAGCTCTCGCTGCCCCAACACCTCCTGTGCCATGAAGATCGACGCCGTGGTGTTCCTCGAGGTGCACAACCTGATCAACATGCTGCTTAACACTTCAAAGCTGAACTACATGACTGGACAGGTGATCTATTCAAACCCTGTTATAAATAATACATTCCCAAGGAGGATTTTCTTGAGACTGTGTATCAGAGGAGGCTGGTGGGAGGAGCTATAGGAGGACAGGTTCATTGTAATGGCTGGAATGGAATAAATGGAACAATCAAACAAAGGGAAGGGAAAGGGGGATACCTCGTCAGTTGTACAACTGAATGCACTCAACTGAAATGTGTCTTCCGCATTTAACCCAACCCCTCTGAATCAGAGAGGTGCGGGGGGCTGCCTTAATCGACGTCCACGTCATCGGCCCCCGGGGAGCAGTTGTTGTTGGAGGTTAACTGCCTTGCTCAGGGTCAGAACAACAGATTTTTACCTTGTCGGCTCGGGGATTCGATCCAGCAACCTTTCGGTTACTGGCCCTATGTTTGATACCGTTTCTTTACAATGAGCCTGTCCTCCTTTAACTCCCCCCACCAGCCTCCTCTGCCTTATTCCCAACTAATACTGTGGGCCACAGCTATATCTTCTCCATGGACCTCCCCAGGAAGCTTGTGGAGGTGTCCAGGCATGTTCAAGCCCTCTTCTTAGAGGATGTCTATATGGGACAGTGTATGAAACACCTGGGCATCCCACCTACTGACCCCTCCACTGGCCCCAGTGTTGCCTTCTTTCAGGAGGTTACAGGCACCCAGAACCACTGTTTCTATAGCATCCTGGATGAGCAGTTACTGGACATACAGAGGAATGAAACCACCTCATCCAGGTTTTCCCCGCCACTTAAAATCGCTGCAGCTATGCCAGGCTGAGCGGTCGCTGGTCAGAGTGTGTATGCTGGCCCATGTGCTCCTAATTGAGAGCTTGTTAATTGCGTATTATTTTGAGAAATGTGATGCGCTCCCTGATTCCAAACTCCTTTGTTTGAAGTGCGGCCGCCCATGGGAAGGTGCAGGTGAACCGGAAGCTGACGTTTGTGTTGAGAGGTAGCATTTATTTTGTATGCCTTGGTTATGCTACGAGAAGTATTATTTTGATTGTATGACCTGAGTTAAAGTTCATGTTGAATCTAATTTTAGTTTTTTCAAATTGCTGCTTGGAGCTAGAATTGGGATAATGTATACTGTGCTAATACAGATACAAAAATACAGAGAACAAGCTACAATACAGTAAACTTAGCAAACGAGGCATTTGTGGTAAGTATATAGAGGCTGCCATCTTTATGCACGTCTGCCATTAATAAACATGACATTCAATTGACCCCAACCTTGAAATGCACGCACTCACATACAATCATTGTTGTAGTCAGTGTTCATAAGGGTCTGACTGAGCTCATTATTAGATCAGGAGATCTCTGTGGATGGATCACCACTGGCTCATTAAGTTCTCCAAACACATTTTTTACAAAATAAACTCCTCCTGTTGCCAACCCTACTGTTACCAACCCTGCTGTTGCCAGTCCTACATTTATTTTCACCACTTCACACATCTATACATTTCGTACAAGCTCAGTTGTTTCCATGTTTCCTCTTCTGACTTTTTCAAAAGGAAGCGATGAGAGGACGGGAGAAGAGGTCGCAACGAGTCAAAGAAATCTAATTGAGAAGAGGCCCATGGAAACTGGAAATATAATGGGCGCCTTCCTGCTGGGCTGATCACTTCTTTTGCTTTTTGTTTTAATTAACATATGGTTTCATGGTTACTAAAGTAAGAAGTCATTTCATACAACTTAAATAATTAAGAGAATCTGAATGGAGAATGTTCTGAGACCTTAAAACTAAATGTTTGAAACTGGTATCACGTTTACCTGATATTTATTATTAATGAAGAACATTTAATCACATACAGTAAAAAGATCACTGCGTCATACAGAGCCCCAATGTGTGGAAGCTGCACAAAGGCTATGCCCTGGCCCCAACAATAGCTCAATTCCAGGATAGGGAATACCAATCTAGTCTATGCTGTGTTAGTGAGAATTTAGCATGTGGACTGTTAACGGTGGGAGTGATTGCGGTCAGTGGAGAGACCTGCGCCCAGAGTTGCTGCGACTTGTCACAGCCAGACCTTTCCCTATTCAGCTCAGTGATTTACACACTCTCCCACACTGTCTGCCTCCCAGGCAGGTTGTGTGTGGGGGGGAGGGGGGCAGAAAGCAGGTCTGGGTGTCAATGTTTAACAAGACAAACACACAGGCCCCACAGTCGCAAATCAACCCACAGACGCTTCTGTGGTAAAGGGAGGCTTTTGCGGAGCGTTGTCAGAGACAGTGGGAAGAGCACTGGCTTATTGAAGCTATCATGTCAGGAGGTTTGGAAAAACATTTCCACATATGTTTTTACTTCCTTCTACATTAATTAATAACTCCATGGCTTGTATGCATATTGTAGGGGTTGCAGTGAGGGCTGCAGCATTGATGAGGGTGGGCTGTATCTAGTGGAAAGGATAGCAGTGTGTGTGTGTCCCTCACCCCAGAATCTCTTTCACTCTCTCTTTCTCTCTTTCTTTCTCTCTTTCTCTTTCTCTCTTTCTCTTTCTTTCTCTCTTTCACGCTCTCTTTCTCTCTTGCTTGCTCTCTCTCGCTCTCTCTTCCCCGTTGTTTATCCTTGCTCCTGTTAGGGTTTTTCTTTGTGTTCTTTTCTCTTTTGAAAGTGATCACTGAGGATTGGGACACTTTGGAGGCTTTGCTCCCTGTGTTAGGAATAATGAACACTGGTTCAGACCATAAACTTATTTTGGAGATTCGTTTGAGAACCTCAAACACACACTGAGTTCCAAAGTTTAATTTCTAAGACCTGTGCTATGTACTCTATTAATACATTTGTGCTGCAGTATTCCGTTTTAATTACTTGTTTTAATAATGCTGTCAGATTACTTCTTCTACTATAAATAGTTACATTGCCATAATAAAAGTTATAAAACATATGTGAGGAAGATCATCATTACAGGTGTTCTCTCAACAGAAGGATAACACAAAAATCCTTAATAATATTTTGGTGTACTTTTTGTTCAATGTGAAAGCCCTGTTATAATGAAAGCCCTGTTATAATGAGTCATCACTGGTCACATACCCACACTACCTAAGTTCATAGACTCTCATGATGTGGTCTGTTTGATGACAGATTTGCTTTCATACTCATACCCCCCTCTACCTCCTTCTGTCTAGCCCTTTCCTTCTAACCGTTCTTCTATGGTATTCCCCCTTTCCCCACTTTTAATTCCACCCCATGACCCAGGTATATAGGGCATGGCCCCAGCCATGTAGTGGAGTCTTCTCCTTGAACATTAGGTCCCAAACACCCCAGAAGCTGCCCCATTAGACTTCTTGCACCATCCCCTGATGCTAAGGACCCAAGCAGTGCCTTAAGCAGTCCCTGGGACATGTTTCTACGGTTACGTGGCCCCAGAACCCAGCCACTCTATATTAACGCAGGAGATTACTGGTGCGGAATAGTCGAAGGGAGATTCTAATTGACAGGCAGGACTTTCTCTTTCTCTCTCTGTAGTCTGCTCTGCTCATGGGGCCTTTCTTATTAGGACACACTGCGTGGGACTTGACCTATCACACACTTAATGTTTGGGGGCCGCCTCCTCGACTACATGGACCCAGGTTCACTGCCTAGTTTTCATCCACAGATCAAGCCCCCTGAGTGAACTATGTCAGGTATTACAAGTACTTAAAGGGAGGGAAGGTGTGTTGTTGAACTGCGCTGAACTCAAGGTGGACTCTTTTTTATGGTGATCAAACTATAGCCTTTCATGTTTGTGAGCCTGGTGTGTGGCACAGTGAGCTTTCATGTTGGAATTTGCGGGGCCGGTGTTTGTTTCGTCAACTACAATGCAGTTGTTGAGCACCTTTCAGCACCAGGTAATCGTTTGGCATGAACTGAGGTACTCCGTCATTGCATAATACCCAGCAGAGTGACAGGAAATGGACGTATGTTTGTGTTTTACACAGAGGAGAGGAGAGATGGAGACACGGAGACACGACAGAAGACATGACACAGCAGCAGTCTGGTCCCTGAGGAGAGGGAGGACGAAGAGTTGGGGTGGGGGTGGGGGGGGGGGGGGTCAAATCCATCATCAGTGGGTTTCCATTCTGTAATCCGGGGGAGTGGAAGGATCTGTTGAGTGACTAGTAAGGCTCAGGCTTAAATTTTGTCTAACCTTTGACCCCTTCGCTAATTGCATATTGCTAAGAAAAAAGTGCTGATGGCAATTCAACTCTAGCATGAAAACTAAAGAAACCAGGTCATGCAGCATTGCCAAATTGTTTATAATAGGTACTGAGACTTTAGGACATTGGTTGTTTATCTGAAGGTCCATATGAAGTTTACTTAAATTCCATCCAAAAACAACCTCTAGTCAATAAACTCATCCCTTCAGATATATAAACAGGGTTTTTTTTCCCAGCCCGTACATTTCACAATGTTCTCTCCCCATGTAAGCAAGGGACCCTGGGGTTAAATTAAGAATGTAGACATTTTAGTCATTTAACAGATGCTCTTATCTATTGCGATTTACAGGAGCAAATAGGTTTATCAAGCAAATAGGGTTAGCAAGTAGCTTGATGGTAGTTTAACTCAACTAAAATCTTAGTAGGATTTTCAGTAGTTAATAACTTTTTTGCCATGTAGTGGTGTAGCTAACTACTAGAACTACCAACTACATAAAAAAAAATATATATATATATATATATATATACTGTATATATAACATTTCTTTGCAAAAATACTCCCCCTGTTATTTTTTGGGCTCCCTGACCACTGAGCTAACATGACCCACTCACTCTCTAGCTGTCACACAGCTCTCACTACACTGATAACACTCTCTAGCTGTCACACAGCTCTCACTACACTGATAACACTCTCTAGCTGTCACACAGCTCTCACTACACTGATAACACTCTCTATCTGTCACAAAGCTCTCAATACACTGATAACACTCTCTATCTGTCACAAAGCTCTCAATACACTGATAACACTCTCTATCTGTCACAAAGCTCTCAATACACTGATAACACTCTCTAGCTGTCACACAGCTCTCACTACACTGATAACACTCTCTAGCTGTCACACAGCTCTCACTACACTGATAACACTCTCTAGCTGTCACACAGCTCTCACTACACTGATAACACTCTCTAGCTGTCACACAGCTCTCACTACACTGATAACACTCTCTAGCTGTCACACAGCTCTCACTACACTGATAACACTCTCTAGCTGTCACACAGCTCTCACTACACTGATAACACTCTAGCTGTCACACAGCTCTCACTACACTGATAACACTCTCTAGCTGTCACACAGCTCTCACTACACTGATAACACTCTCTAGCTGTCACACAGCTCTCACTACACTGATAACACTCTCTAGCTGTCACACAGCTCTCACTACACTGATAACACTCTAGCTGTCACACAGCTCTCACTACACTGATAACACTCTCTAGCTGTCACACACTTAACTTTGTATTATATTACATTTCAGATTTAGATATGATAATTTTTCATGAGGTACTGTAGTGTTGATGTAGTGAACTACTTTTTCAAAGAAACTTTAGTTAAACAAACTATATTTCTCTTAAGGTGTAGCTTTACTGTAGCTCAACTTCTTCCTGTGTGAAGTAATTGGTCCCTTGGAAAACTATATTTTCAGAGTAGCTTCCCCAAAACTGCTTCATGTCCACACCCAGGCTCAACCCTAACACTAACCCTAATCCTAACCCTAACCCTAACCTTGATTTATCCTACTTTTATTCTACTTTTCTCTTTAGACTCATAAGGTTCTGGGTCTCAGCTCTGCCTGGCTCTCCCTTTGATTCAAGGTGCAGGAGCCTGGCTCTGTTGCCTGGCTACCCAGACTCCTTGCGCCGGCCAAACACTACGTCACGCCCACGGACGTTAGTTTCTTCTCTGCAATGAGTATGCATCTGAGTACCTCCCCAACCCTTCACTGAATGCGAACACATTTGAGGCCATCTTTGAAAATTAGTCATTGGCTTTGATACTCTGATTGGTTACAGACGATCCAATCGCTGATTACTTTGTTTTATACAACGCCCATCATGCCCCTCGTCACCACAAATGACTTCAATGAGGGCAGTCTCAGACTAAAGTATGTAGCGAACGACAGAGCACCGGAAAAAGTTAGTGTGAGTCATCAGGCTACTGGCTCTAGGTAGCTCCAGCTCAATTTACCTGATGAGAACCATGCTTGTTCTTAGCCCTGTGTATAACTGGTGCTAACATACATTATTTGTCCTGATCTTGTCCACATTCTGATTGTGCACACATTTTTGGACAAGTGTAGATGATTAAAAGACTCATTGTGACCTCAGGAGTTAGTCAGGTACACATTGAGTCTGAAAATCTTACAAGTGTAGACGGATCTGGACAGAGAAACCATTTAAATAATTATTATCCCACCCCTAAAATCATTGACAGGTGGCACCATTGACTTATGGCATCATGATGTGTCTTAAATAAATACATATTATTTTTGTCAAATCATTTGCATACAGGGAGGGACCAGGAAATCTGGTCACATTGCGGACACAGTGGACAAATGTCTTTACTAGGCATTTGCCGTTGTTTCAACCTGATGATGACTGTGCATGTGCCTACAAATTCTGTGGTTTTGGAGCACTATT